TGCGTTACTCAGAATGCTGCAAGCCAAAGGCGAATGAATATCTTGCTGTGGAGTTAGCACTAGCCCCACCCCACTGTTGGTGTGCAGCCCATAATTCCTGCAGTCGGAAGCTTATCAAGTTGCAGGGAATTTGGTAGCACTAATCAAACATTTGCTGTGCAGCACCTGGAACTGGTGTGTACTTTAAGATAATGTCTGGCTTCAGATTGGATGCTGGTGATTAGAGCAGTAAATTAGCCCCACTTCGTGGTTACAGGTTTCCTTGGCCCACGTAGAGCATCAGAGCAGATTTCAGCATGCAGATGTTTTTCAGTTTCCCTTTTCATCTCCAAGGAGAACAATTACAATATCCTAATGTTCTGCCATCCGATTATTCCCATTTAGCCTATGCATTTTAGCTCATCAATAATAAAAGACAAGAGAAACTGTTCATCTCTGCTTGTAGGGACCATCATGTTGAGACTTGTGCAAACTTTTCACCTCAGTGGTATTGATGAAGGTCATTGTGGAATGTTCACCTAATTGGGGGCAATCAGTCATTTGGGTTTGCAGCCCTGTGCCTTGAACATGCACACACCCTTCTTCATTTTTCTTGTACCTTTCCATTTGCAGGACAGATCTGTTAAGGGCAACACAGGGCAGCAGGAGGTCCGCTTGTAGGGTGGGGGTACACAGGGACACAACTCCTCTTGAGGGTGGTTGGCCTCATACCATCCAGCAGAGGGCAGCTGTGCCTAAGAGTGGCCTCTAAACTCTTGTTATTATTCAAGGAGACTGAGACAGGTTGGCTATTACTTTGGAACATCTGAAGCTCCAAGGAAGTGGGCAATGTTTCCCCATGGAGTCAATAGGGGGATTTCCATGGAAGAACACACAAAATTGCAGGAAGCCCTTAGAGTGCTGCCATTCACCTTGCAGGAAGAGAATTTGTTCATTCCCTCCCCCCATACCCCCTGGCTGGTCTTGTCAGCAGTTTCTGAGACATCAAGATGCTCTTTATTGTGAAGGTGAAACCCTCTATTGCTGAAAGTGGAGCCAGCATGGAGTAGCCAGCAGAGATACGGATCTGTGTGTTTCTCTCATGTTCTAGTGGCTTAAGAGAGAGTGCAGAGATTTCTCTTAGGTCTCTCATTTTCAAACTAATGCATTTTACTCCTAACCTTAACTTCCCCCGGTAGTACATATGTTAGTATGTCTTGTGCCTACAAGCAATTATCTTTCCTTTGTGCTCAATGTAGGGACCTTCCTTGATTGTTAAATCTGTTCATTTTCTAGGGATTTCCCCTTGACATTGGCCCCTCTGAAATCATTCTTGGAAATGAATTGCAGATCAAGCTCCTTCATTGTCTCATCTCTTGTTATTATCAAAGTTCCCTCAGAGGCTGCAGGAAGGCAAGTGAAGGAAATTGATGGGTTCAGATGAGAAAGAAACAAAGGAGTGCGTGAGCAAGCAGAGTCCAGGGGCAGCCACCCAAGTCTATTTTTCAAGTTACGATCATGTAACATCCAGCTGGGATAATGGTTTAGTATGTAACAGTGTGTAGGAAGATTAGACCTGGATGGAAGGTCTAAATTGGATTCAGATCATTACAGAGGAGATCAGGCTATTGAGAAGAGCCCCAGGATGCACATTGCCAGTGATGTGAGAGTTCCAGAAAACAAATCTAGTCTATTTGAAAGTTTTTTTCGGAATCATCAAAGAAGTGGCAGATGAGATTTCTCCATGGACTGGGTGATCACTGGGTGACCTTTATGCCAGTCTCAATTCTCAGCCTCTGTGATTCACTGAATTGGGGGGACTTTTGAGATGCCTTTCACTGAAGAGATTTCATGTGGTCACTGTTCTAGCTCTCTTCTGTTGTGACAAACAAACACTAGATCAAAAGCAACTTAGGAGAAGAAAGGATGTATTTCATCTTACACTTTCAGGTTACAGTCCACTATTGAGACAATCAGGGTAGGAACTCAAGGCAGGAATGTGAAACAGAAACCGTGGGGAATGCTGCTCTCTAGCTCATGCTTAGCTAGCTTTTATGTGCATCACAAGACCACTCTAAGTAGGCTGGACCATCTTACATCAATCATCAATCAAGAAAATCCCTTAATTGATGACCACAGACCAACCTGACCTGGGCAATCCATCAACAAAGACTCCCTCCCATGAGTGACTCTAGGTTGTGTCAAGTTGACAGCTGAAGGAACTAGAATGCCAATATGTTCCATTTTATTTTTCAGATTTATACACATAGGCTGCATAGATGCTCACAGAGGAAAGGTTATAGGGAAAACAATGACTGTGAATTAGGAGACTTGTGCATTGGTCCAAGTTTTCTCACTAACACATTGTATTAAGTTGAATGAATCAATTTCTTTCTTCAGTTTCCAGTTTGCTTTTCAGTCACAGAAGGCAATGTGTAGCATAAACGAAGCCAGGTAATCAGTGTCCATATCATACTCTGCTACTAAATCACTGATCTTTCCTGTTAACATGAGTACAGGATTCTTTTCGACTCTGCATTTGAGAGATCAATCAAATAGACGAGTTTCTTAGAGAGGGAGTGTTTGTTTTGTTCTGTTCTATTCTATTTGGGGGCAGGGTCTCACTATGTGGCCAGTGCTGGCCTCAAACTTTCCATTTTTCTACTTTGGTCCTTTAATTGCTGCAGGTATAAGTGTTTAAAATCTTGTTTGGCTAAATAGATTTTTTTCTAGTTATTAAAACTCCTGACCATCACTAAACTACCTATTTGCAGTTCTAATGTGAACTCATCTCTTGCTGAATAACACCCCTAGCTGCCATAGCAGAGATACAAACATTCCTTTATTTGTGATGGATTTAAGTCTTACTAAATCCAGGGTGAATTGAAAATACAACAAGTTGATAATGCATTTAATATAGTTGAACCCAAGACCCTCACACCCTCACCATTTATCCATGACCAGGCAAGAGCTGCATCTGCAAGCTCTCTTAGTAAGTGTGACTCAGTTTCCCCAGCACACAGAACTTCCCTCCAGGTCTAGCCTAGCTAGGAGCCATGTCAGTACACCCCTTGCTGAGTCAGACCCAAAACTCTTACCATATGTCACAAATGCTCTCCCTTCAGTCAGATGAACTCTTTATTCTTACACCCAAGCAGGTATTGAAAGGTGCAACACAATAGACACTGGTCATATATAAAGGAAAACTCATCATAATAACTGTAATTTCTCAATGGAAACAGTAAAAGTCAGAACAGCCTGGAGCAATGTACTCCAAGTTCTAAAAGACTACACATGCCAGACAGCTTTACCCACCAAAACTAATGCCATAGTTTAAGAAGTAAGGAAAACTTTCCATGACATAAATAGGCTAAAATAATTCATGTTCACCAAACCAGGCCTACAGAGTATACCAAAAGTATTATTTCCTACTGGACAGAGGAATAAGCTTAACTGAAAGGTTCTATCCAAACAAAGTTATAATTGCTGAAACATAAAACAGGAATAAAACATGAACAGAAAAACCAACCAACCAACAAACAAAACAAACAACAAATTACAACAATCAGCAAATACACTTTGATAATAACTTTAAATCTGAATGGCTTCCATTCCCCAATCAAAAGACCCTGCGTAGTTCAATGGAGTAAGAAACAAAATCTATCTTTTTGTTATCTACAAGGAACTCATTTGTTTTCAAGTACAGTAACCACCTTAAAGTGAAAGTAATGGAAAAAGTATTGTAAGCATATGGGACCAGGAAATAAACAGGCATACCAATCCTAATATCTGACAAAAGAGACTTCAAACCAAAATTGATAAGGAGAGATAAATGTAATTCTGATGAAGAGAACAATTAATCAAGGAGACATTATGATCTGAAACATACCCATACCAAACCTTGGGACACACAATTACATCGGAACAAATACTACCAAAATTGAAGACACAGAGGAACCATAACTTACTTTTAGGTGATTTCAACACCACACTTTCTTCAATAGAAAGGTCACCTGGACATAAGATAACAGAGAAAAATCATAATTAAATGATATTATACATCAAATGCACTTCACAGATATCTACAGAATATTCTGCATAAACACTAAAGAATACAAGTTCTACTCAACAGTCAATGGAATTTTCTCTTAAATAGACTATATAGTAGAATAAGAACACTCAACAAATACATAAAAATTGAAATAACTTCATGCATTTTATTTGGCCACATGCAATAAAGCTTCAAATCAGCAGAGACAGGATCCCAGGGAGATCGCTGGGCCATTCCGGCCCCCACAGTGTGCAGAGAGTGCAGAGGTGAGCTGATTCAGCCCCTAACTTGGGCCCAACTTCTGCCTGCTCACCCTGGCAAACCCTGCCCAGGGATCTTCCACAGGACGACTCGACTCCTGAGAACCAAACAACCCAGTGTCTGCTGACATCTCTGCACCAGTGCTGCTCTC